ATTACAAAAACACCATGATTTCCACCCCAAAGCGACGTCGTATTGGGCTTACTGCAGATAACTTATCTGCAGTAACTGCAGAAAAAACGAACTCATATTAATAATGAGGAATATGTTTTTATATGGGAAAACTATTCTTATGTCACATGACATAAGTTTTCTCTCTTACATATCCTTTGATAATTGTGCCACCTTTTTCTTTTCTTTTCTTTTATTTTTTCAGGTGGTGGATCCCACTAGTTTGTCTCTATGACATGAGATAACTATCTCTTTTAACATGAGATTAATAAAATCCTTTTTATATTGTATACAACAATTTTTTCTGATTAATAATATAGTACAAAGGTGAAATCAAAAGTGTCACATGTTTGAAAAAAAGAGTCATCACAATTTTTCGTAAAGGAAAATTTAAGTATAAATCATATGGTTCGATTTAGTTTTTGAGAAAAAAAATTAGTCAACTCGATTAAATCCGAGTGGGTTAATCAGGTTGTACATATATTTATATATTTTTTAAAATATTCATAAAGAGGCAAAATAAAATAAAAAATATAGAGAAAAGAAAAAGACGGATTTGGGTTGGGTTTGTTGATTTTTGACTCATGACCCAAACGGAGAATAGTTAGGTTTTACTTTCTGTCAATTTAACCCAGGTAACCAAACTGGACTATGCGCAGGTCTACCCGAACCAACGATCACCCTTAAATATCTCAACCATGACCTACCTCAAGCATAAATTCCTTACAGTTTCCATTTATTGACTACCAAAATCCTCGTTTTATAGGGCATTTTGATATGTCATTTATTCATCTTAAAAAATACCTATAAATGTAATATTAGTGTATAAAAGAATGTTTATGTTTCTAGACTTCCATATTCATTTTTTCCTCTAAAACTATAGCTTATTTTATAATGATAAAGTTAAATTTATTTGACAAAATTAGAACGTGTGCTTATTCAGGTACAATCAATTTAATATTACGATTTCAGAAGGAAATTAGAAATCAGACAAATTAAGACATATACTTATTCTGGTACAATCAATTTAATGTACTAGTTTTAGAAGGCACGCATAAATATTCAAGTTAACTAATATTATGATGAAATAATTTTACCTGTCAAAAGTTATAATTTTAAGTTAGGATGCAACTCTTTCTACTTATCCATACTAGCTCAAATATTACGATTCCATCTGACTCCAACTCCACGTTGAACTTTGCTAAGTCAGAATATTGTTGGCCTTACCAACAAAAATGTATGGAATATGGATTGAAATCAAATATTTCTAATTTCAAAATATAAATTATTCACACAATATGAATGTGGATACTATATCAGTAATATTGTAACTTTTATGATCTTAAATTAGTGTTTAATAATTAAAAAAATAATAAATTCTTGTTATTGATTATTTTGAGAAGCAGTTAATCAATTATATTCATTAATATTTATTTAAATAAAAAAAATTAAATCTATTATCATATATTAAATCAATCAATTATATAGCCAACGAATAACTCTTTGCCCAAAATATTGTAAGTTGTTTTTTGTTTAACATTAGCATGTAAATCAACTCATTGACCCAAAATACGATTTAGTCACCAAGTTACTTTAAGAATTTTCACATTAAATTAACTGAATTTTTATTTAAATTTAAAAAAAATGGAGAGTAATTTGCTATTTATGTCAAACATTACTACATAATTGATAATGTTTAATTAATATATATTTTTATAAAAAAAAATTGTTTATTTTCTAATTCAATAGATACCATGGTCACAAATTCAATTCTTTTCTCCAATTTATTGCATTTTGAAGCTTGTAAATTTTCTAGAATGTTTGTTATGAAAGGTTATACTTACCATTTATTTTCCTATCACCTCTTACAAGTAATTTTATTATCGTTAGATTAAAATCAAATTAATAATTACAAAATGACATCAAGTGAGATTCATTGAATTAATTTTGATCAAACCATAACAAAATAGTTGTAAGAAATGGTAAGTATAATCATAACAAAGTGGTTGTAAGAGGTGGTATGTATCCCAAAAAATAGTTTCATATAAAGGATGGAGTTGAAAATTATATACACTGAAATAATTTTTTTCTGTTTTACTTGAGAAATATAAAGGCAGTTAAAATATATATAAAAAATCATGACATTTTTTTCTTTTTTTTTTAAACAAAGTATTTTTTTTTTCATTTTATGCAATAATATATTTGATTTTTTGTGTAATGTAAATTCATTATTAAAATTTACATTTTTTTGTATATAGAAAATAATAATAAATATAAAATAATATCAGGTAAATATAAAATTAGTTATATTCTATTTTGAAATTTTTAAAACTTCTAAATTGTTTATATAAAATATAATATTTAATATTATCATGTACATCGTACATATACTAATTTGGTTTTCTTATAAGAACACTGTTTATATAGGTATATATCGTATACAAGTCGGTAGCATATAAACATGACTTAATAATGATGACCCAATTATCATACTTACTTTTTCAAGGTGCTCTAGTAAGCCAAAGATATTCTGACCAAAACATAAGGAAACAAAAGATGTGACATGGAGTAATAAAACTCTTTTCCTTTCCTAATTTGCTTATCAGTATACCGGAACCCTTGTGGGTCATGGATGACATTTGGTGATCACATGATCGTTTTATCATTTTTTCGGGTACATTTTTAGACATATATAGATAATTTTTTTTTTTCTTCAATATATAGATATTGTTTTTAGACATATATATGATCGTTTTATAGACATATAGATAATCATTCAATCACTCCATATATCGTAGATTTTTATAAGAGTTATGTTGTAAGAAAAGTGATTGTATAATATTATAGAGATTCGTTTTGCGTGCCATAATTTTTTTTTTTTTTTTTCAAAAAGTGTGGACCTCATAAAATGTTGTCTGTAGGAAAGATTGTTGTGTCATGTTAAATGATAAATACAAACTCCTATATCATATTATGTACTATTGACGAGATATGATATTATACAATATTTTGATACTTTAATTTAAAAAATATTAAATTTTGACATATTAAAAATCATTTTGATATTAAATAATATTTTTAATTTATATAATATAATATATATTAAATATTCAATAATTTAATAAAAAAAATTATAATATCTATCAATTTAAAAAAAAAACATAAGTTGTAAATATTTATTATTATATTTTTAAATTAAAAATCATTTATACATTGTAATGAGATTTATTTGATATTTATTTTTAATTTTTATTATATTTATTTAATAAAACATCGAGCAATTTTATGATATGTAATAAAATTTTAAATATTATAAATATCAGAACATATTAAAATATCAAAAAAATATCAAAGCATATGAAAAGCTAGGTGCATAGCTGTTGCGTAGCTGCTTTCCCTTAAAACTTTCAATAAATATTTCTAAAAAATTTCCGAATAATCTGCTAGACTTGGCATCTATTCAATTTGAGGTCTGGTTGAGTCCGTGACTCGAGATTGACTAGGCGATAAACGAGATACAGACAGATTCGATTCATCATTGCCATTTGCCAGTTAGCACCTATTTTTATTTTTATTATTGGTTTATTTTAGTAAAAAATTTAAATAAAATTAGACACCAATATTTTATTAAGATCAAGAAAAATCAACTAACTTCTTTAAAGATTTCACAAAAAAATTATATATTACTCGTTAACAAAGTCTTTCCATCAATTAGCACCTATACTTTTTACTCACATTTTGAAAATAATTTATAGGACAAAAATTAAATTTAAGGTACGTACAGCTGCATACTATTACTAGATCTGCATAAATATGACATGGTCATGTATAAAATTATAATTATATAAAGATAAATTAATGATAATAAAAAAAAAAAAATATATTAAAATAAATAATTATAATCATTAATTCATCTTTATACTATTGTGATTTTTCCATGACCATGTGACAATTCATTTTCACGGTTACTACAGACAAAAATTAAAGTGATTGTACGTACATTTATCTTCTGCCAGCTGGATGCAGCTTTCTGTTTAACTTTTGCCAATTCTATTTGCTCAAGGGGCGTGGTGTTAGAAATTTTTTGAATACTAGAAAAATGTAATTATTAGGGAAATGGTTGGAAAATGAGTTTAGTAAGAAAATGTAAAAAAAGTTGTTTGGTTGATCGAAATATTACCAGAAAAATTTATTTAAATTTGAAAAATTTATGTTCGGGAGAAACTTCGCACTTGTATTTTCACTTCTCCAGTTATCTCAAAATACCACATCTCAAGTGATATTCTGTAACGGTAAATTTCATCCAAAAATCAACACAAAATCATTTCTCCATCTATCCTATTTGCCTAGTATTTTTTTCAAAAAACCTGAACTAAACGTGATATTTTTTTCAAAAACCTGAACCAAACGTGATATTTGTCAATATCCACTTATACTTTTCCATCAATCCCAAAATAAATCTTCTACCAAAGACTACTTAAGAAAAAAATGTTTGTTATTTTAAATGATATAACTTATATCCTTTCATTCTCACGAATGAGTTGAGATCCATATTTTTTTTTATTTTTTTCTGTTCATTCTCTCTCCTCTTTTATCTATCTCTCTTACTTTCTCTTACTTTCTCTTACTTTAAATGACATAATTTTATATATTATAGATAAAAGTATATATATAATGTTTTATATATTGAAAAAAAAAATTACATTATTAAATTTGCTTTTAAAGCATACATTTTCCATATAACAGCTATATAACCATTTATTATAATCATTTTGTTTTGATTTTATTAATCTAATACAGTAAGAAAGAAATCATGTTATCCTATAGATACATACAACCATCCACTTATAAAAATTAACACAAAATTTAATGTATATATATAGGAGAAAAAAATATTTTCCAATAACAGGGAAATATATTTTTCCTTTTTTTTTAATATATATGCTATCAAGCCAAATCACGGTAGTGATGTGCGTGGATGAGAACAAATGGATGTACCGGTGTTCCCTGTGTACACTTCTAGCAGTCACAACGAGTAATGTAAAACCAAATCGAACGAAAAAGACCAAACACTGGTAAAGGGTAATAATAAAAACATTAATAAATAATTGTAGTCTGAAGGTAACAATGTAAATTAATGTAATGGGTACCCATAACAGGGCCAAAGAAGAATAAGAAAGAAGAAATAATACAAGAATATAATAACAGCAACGAAGTCTGTCTCTCTAGAGGAACAAAACAAGGCTAACACAGCCCAAAGCTAAAGATCCCAGCATCTTCAAGCACCTGATAGTCTCAGCTCCACTCTGCCAAAATAAAATAAAAAAACACAGAAATCTCAGATCCCAAAATTAAATATTTGAGCTATGCACAATTTCTTGGTCCGGTGTACAGACATACATATATAATTAAGCAAAAATAATTATCACGATCACGACAAACAAAGCGTGAAAATTTGACATTCAACTTGTTTTGTTTGATGAAAATATTTATATATTTATTAATCTGACTACATTTATTCAATTTTTTTCTTTTTTAGATTTAGCCTTTTTTATATTATTTATTAACATAACATTATAGCATTATAAAAAAAAAACATAAAATAAAAATTAATAAATGTAATAGATCCAATTATAATTACCCTTAACTTATACTTTAATCACATCGGTTTTTGGTCCTAGGTAATATATTTCCTGTTTTCCTTCGATTAACTCAAAAGTCATGCTAACAAAATCCACCGTCAATGGTGGCGCGTGGCCCACACCGTAACCCTACATTTGAGTTTGAAGTTACAGTTTGGGCTTGTAAAAACCTAAACTAAGTTAAAGTCAAATAAGCATGTCATGCCTGCAGTCAGAAACTAACACGAAAAATCGCAGATCTGAGATGCACATTGTTTTAAACTAAAGTATATTAAAAGTGGAAAGGACAAAGAAGAGACAAGAATGAAAGACAATTACCTCATCGTTTGAAGAAGATGCTGGACCAGGTGAAGATGCATCTTCGCTGGGTCCAGGAGCTCCTGTTGGTGGTGCTGGAGGACCTAGCAATGGTGATGGTGCTGGTGCACCCGGTTTCTTACCCTTCTTCGTCTTCTTTGATTTGCTCGGAGCCGGAGCTGGAGCCTCAGGGGTGGTTGGCGCCGCCACGGGTGCGGGAGGAGAACTCGCCGGAACAGTTGTTGGCGCAGGTGCAGGGGGAGATTTCGCTGGGGGTGAGCTCACTGGAACAGGAGCAGGTGGAGAACTGACCGGAACTTTTGCTGGTGGGGAGCTCACTGGTGTCGCCGCCGGTGGAGACGATGCAGGAGGTGTCGCCGCCGGTGGAGAAGATGTAGGAGGTGTTGTCGTCGCCGGAGCAGGCGCTGCAGCTTTGGTCGGAGATGAAGCTGGAGGAGCTGATTTGGGAGAAGCAACAGGAGCTGGTGATGTTGGTTTGGAAGGGGCTTGGACCGGTGATGAAACTGGAGTGGCTGCAGCTGGAGTTGCCGGTGAGTTAGACGGGGAAGCAGCCGGTGACTGGCCTCCGACGCCGGCGACCACAATGCAGATCAATGCGAGAGAGAGCACGCTGTTACGATCCATTTTGTAAATCACACCGTTAAGAGTTGAGAAAGAGTGAGAGAGTGTGAGAGAGAGTTGGGACCAAAGATGTGTGGCGAAGGGTTTATATAGGCAGTGTCGTCATTTGATGCCGTTGTTGGAAAGAACAGATTTGTACCGATTCATCAGGACCGCTGATTATTAACTGGGTCCCATGATGTCATGTATCAAGTTAACCGTTGGATCAACGTGTCTGAGGTAGGGTACAGCACCGGGTTTCGAATCTATGATATGATCTGTGATATTGTAATATAATAATTACCAACTGTTAATCTGTAAAAGGAAATTAGCCAAGAAAAAAGGTATTACTAACTAAGAGAGATTTTCATTTTAAAATATTAATAGAAATCTTCTCAATTGATTAAAGTAATAAAAAGCACAGTTGTTTACCAAAGACAAAAGGGGAATAACATCTATCATTTTAAAAGATATAAACTTATATCATTTTAGATTCTAACTGTTTTCTGTCCATCAACGATTATAATTTATTGAATTAAAATTATTAATTAATTAATAATAAATTTGGCCCATTAAGTTTGGCCCAATAAATTATAACGGTTGATGGACGGAAATCAACGATTAGGATCTAAAAGGATATAAACTTATATCTTTTAAAAGGATAAATATTTTTTCCAAACAAAAAAACACAATCTTACAGCTATTAATTATTAAATACACGTATCTTTTTTATTATATATTCTTTTCAAACCGGTAAAACTTTATAGTTTATACATTTGTTAACGAATATATTTAAGGTTTCATGCTAAAGATGTAAAACATATAAAAAGTAAAATTATTAAATACATATGAAAATATTTTTTATTTTTAAAATACATAAACTAATATTTTTTCGAGTACTTATTTATATTAAGTAATTTTTAATTATTATTCTAAAAATTTAGCAATTTTCATAATTTTTTTATTCAGTAACATTTGATGAAAGAAGCATAAGAAATGTATGGACTATGGAAGATTTGAATCTGTGGCACATAGGCTTCGTCAGGAGCCAAGCATTGAAACTTGAAAGGTAAGGGTAAGCATTTGTCTTGTTCTATGCAGTATTATATTATTTCTTAATTTTCATAGCAACTTCAAAAAGTAACGCCATGAATTTTGTTTTTTAAGAACTAGTTTGATGTTATTTTAAAAAATAATTTGATTGGTTTATAAATAAAATAAAATTTTAATAACTCTTCTGTCCTTAGATAACTACAATGGACAGTTACTAAAAAAAATCAAAGATATCTTAATTAAAAATTATTTTATTTTAAAGAAAATTAGTCTAGATTTCTTAATTCTTTAAGGAATGAATTAAAAGAAAAAATATTTCCAAAATGTATTTTACTAGTTAGAAAATCCCAATTCCTTAAGTAATTATTTGATACCTAAAATAAATTCGAGACAGGCCACTTGTGCATATCTTAATCAGGGATAAATTATTTTATCTATCATTTTTTCTATCTACTTTTGTCTACCACTCTTCAATATGATTAGATCAGAATCTCAAAAAAAAAGAGTAAGATAAATGTTAAAATTATGATATAATAATATTAGAAAGTGATAGGTAAAGATAAACAAAAAAAAAATGAGAGATAAAATAATATATCTCCGAAAATAAAAAGCACAGTAGAGTGGCGGTTGATCCAGTCTGGAGCGGGCCCATATTGGTGATTTGCGCATGTGATATCGAAGAATTGATTAAGGCAGGTGACACAATGACACCTGAGCTAATGTGCTTTGTTTTGTGGCTTCATTACTCTACGTATCACCGATACGACATGCGACACGTGACACGACACGATCCTCTGACACGTCAATCTTAAAAAATTATGAATTTTGACACGTTGGGACACGTTTTAATATTAAATAATATTTTTAATATATATAGTGTATATTTTATTTAATATTTAATAATTTAACAAAAAAATGAAACTAAATTAATAATATCCATTAACACGTTATAAAGATGGAAGCTTTAATAAAAAAAATAAGAACTGAGATGAGAGAGATATATAATATCAGATAGAGAGATCAAATCATATTAGAGAGAGATCAGAGAGAAGAAGATACAACAAGAGCGTAATAGAAATTGACAACAATGATGCTGAGATGATCTCTTATCTACTTAAGGGGAAAAAATAAAAAAATAAAATTGATATGATCAGGTGAAAGCTTTATTAATATATTTTAACTTTAAAAAAAAAAATAAAAAAAATTACGAAAATGTCATTTGACCGTGTCGGACACGGTCAAATTCGCGTGTCGGAATGGTCAACGTGTCGGAAAAAGTCAACCGCGTGTCCGACACCGTGTCGGAGCGTGTCGAACCCGACTCTTCCTGTTTTTACAAATGTCGGTACTTACTTGTCAATACTCGTTTAAAACCTTCTTGTTTATTTGCTGGTTCTGATTTGGTGTTTTGCGCAGTTGGTGGTGTTGATACAGCTGGATTGCTTATGTGGGCCATATCCAATTCAACAAACCTGTAATCTTATGCCACGATACCATGTCCTCCAATCATTCCTCTAATATTACCAACACAACACACCACAACTAGCCTAGCACCACCGTCAACATGTGGGTCCCCCGCGAAAATGCCTTCTGTGACACCCTATTCTGATCCTCTGCGTAACATTTTCTTTTTGTTTTCTTTAAGAAAAACAGATTATAAAATTTTTTAACTTACAAGTTGATTGGTTTGATTCCAAATTATGATTGGGAAATTTCAAATAGATCAAAGTTTTGGTTTGGTTTTACAAACTAGACTTAATAACAACAGGTTTGTTTCTAGTCATTAGAGGAAATAAAGTATCGTCAATATTTTTGGTTTCCTATAGTATCTCCTTATTAAGAGAATAATCTTTAGATATACGGTTAAGCATTTAACACCAGAATCCTTCCTAACTGCATTTTTTTCATACATATAATCTCGAAATCGAATTCAAAATACCTAAAGAATTCAAGTTCCATAACCGAATACGTGAATGAATTAATAAGAAGTTATTTTAGCTTAATCAGTGATTTTAAGTTTGAATTCCTAAAAATATAACTGTGTTGAAATTTAATGAGAAGAGCTTTATCATATACATAATACTACCTGACTTGATTTAGACTAATTAAAATTGATGAATAAATAAATAATATATATAAAAAAAGAATTTGAATCCCTCTTATTTCAATCAACATGTGTTGATAAAAGCAAGATATTGTCTAAAATATTTTAGACACTAATGATTGAAGAAAAATTATTTTAAAAATTTCTTATATCTATAAATAAATTTTCAAAGGACTGATTATGATAAAATTTATTTCATGTTTAGATATGTTAATCGAAAAACAAATTTAAGATAATATGTTTTGTTTGAATTACATAAAAAAAATCTTATTAGTTACTAAAACGGTATGAAATTATTTGTTTCAATATATATATGCAGCGTTTAAGGGTGGATATGGTAAAAATGCTCATAACTACAAAATAATCTGAAAGGATGATAATCAAAATGTCCAAAAGTCAGGTTTTCATTAAAAAAAAGAAAGATATTTTTGTGCAAATATTAAAAGTATAATCTATTTATTCACTAATGCCTTAACATAATAGAATTGATGCACAAAAAAAGCTTTTACCAACAACAAAAAAAACCCATTAAAAACAAATAAATTAATTATCAAGATTTTGGTACAAGATTTTTTATTTTTATACCAATATAAAAATAATCTGCTAAAAATAACTGTTATATATAATTATTCTAATTTATTAGATATTTAATTCATTAAATAAAAATAAATTAATTATCAAGATTTAATATAAGATTTTTTATTTTTATACCAGTGTAAAAATAATGATATGTTATTTTGCCTACTCTCATTTTGCCTACCTCTGTCTATCCCTTTTATTACCGTTCGATTATAATCTAATCCAACGGTCCATATTTGTGAAATAAAATAAACCATTTTTCTCATTTTTTGTCCTCACTTCCTCCCACACCCTTCTTCTCTTCTCCCCTTTCTCTCTACGCTATACCTATTTTTTCTCTTGTATCGCTGATGTCTATGCTCAGGTGAACGCGCAAGTGTAGCTATGAATCATTTAGTTTTGATATCTTTTTTGGTTTTCCCTGTATGCCTCATAAAATTAAAGGATCGAAGACAAATTGGGTCCCTGAGTTTTATTGCCTTCAAGAAGACTGAGTCGACAAGTTGATTGCTAAGTTATAACTATGATTACACAAAACTTGAAGCAATAAAATAAAGATTCAAATCGTAAGAAGCTACGGAGCACCATCAAATATCAAATATCCCTAATAATGAAATCCACCACGAAATATCAAGTTTGAGTTCGTTGATCTAAATTTTATATCTTTATTTCTTTTTAATTCCCCCTACATCGATATGTTGGACTTGACCGGCAAGTGTTGGAGAATCCATAGTGGCATTCTTGCTATTCAATTCAATATGAACGCTAATTGGTTTCGAAGCATTTATAATACCGTAGCTACACTTGCGGGTTCACCTGAGCCGCATACATGAGCGATACAGGGGGGAAATAGGTATAGCGTCTATAGAGGAAGAGAGAAAGAGGAGGAGAGACAAAGGGTGTGGAAGGAGGAAAAAAAAAGAGAAAAAATGATTTATTTTATTTTGCAAATATAAATGTTGGATTAGATTATAATCGAACGGTAATGAAAGGGGTAAGTAAAGATATACAAAATGGGAGTTAGCAAAATAACCTATCCCGTGAAATAATCTGTTAAAAATAACTGTTAAGAAAATAATAGCAATAATTACCAGTCACAATTTGATAAGATTTGACGCATTTTAGGCTTAGGAAATGACAGATAAAATCGTTCGTTTTGAACGTTAAAAATCTACTAACTTTAATATCTAAATTCTTAATGACAGATTTTCTATAACTTTCTTCCTTTTCTGTGTTTTTTATGGTAGGATTTTTTATTTTTTATTTTTTTTGGTAGGCGTAGGATTTTTAT